ACAGAGAGAGAAGAAAATTGAGGTAGACAATTATATATTTTTTACACACCCTCTGCCAAAGGAAATTGATACAGACGGAGGCAGGTTCTTGGGGAATTAAATTATAAACGGCAGCTTCGGAGAAAGGAGACAGCAGACAGCATAATTGGAAACTTTTTACGTTCTGTCAATTTTCGGTGATGTCTTCCATAATTCCTTGTTGTTTTTCTCTATTAATATGAGTAGTTAAATTTAATTTTAGGGTGAATAATGTAACTAATTTGGGACCTTTATTTCTTTTATTTGAGATTTTTGTTATTTTATATTTTATGTGTGAATTTCAATTATGTTTTTAATATTTTGAATTTTCTGGCTAATTATTCAATGATTTTGTGAACAACAATTACATAGAGATGCAGATTCTTGTTTAGACCACGTATTAAAATTTGGTAAATTAAAATAAAGTGTAGAGATACCTATATTAATTGCTGTGGTCCTATAGAAATTCTTAGAACTATTATTTCGTTTAATTAAATTTAATTTACATAGAGATATGGAATTGAATTAATTAAATAGGTTCAACGAGAACTCGAGAGGGGTAAGTTGAATACAATAAAAGAATTCGACCGAACACTATTTTAATTTTATGAATCTCGATATTAGAAATAAAGGTGATCAATAGGTGAAGTCGTTTCGCCCTAATCTCCATTTATTTATTGAATTCTCACTAATTTTCTATTGTATTCACGAAATTTTTAGTAGTTAGATTTAAAAATCACATTCAATTATTATTTTTATTTATTTATTTTCATTAAATAGAAGTTAGAAATAATCAATTGAGTACTAAAATATAATCATCGTGGAAACAATAATCTGGATTCAAAAAGTCCACTTTACTACTTGTTACGATCTGTCTACTTGCGGGATAAAATCGATAACAAGTTTTTGGCGCCGTTATCGGGGACTATTATTTTTAGTCTTAATTTATTTACTTTATTTTATTTTTATCGTATTTTTAATTGTTATTTGATTTGCTTATTTTCTTTTATTTATAGAAAATTATGTTCATTGTATACTCCGTGTCCAAGGCGACGATTTTGAACCGTTTGATTCGAAAATAGAACATACTTTCAGACGAAGACGCAAGGAACACAAACAAAAATTGCAACATCAAATGACTGACAATCTAAACAATCCCAACCCTATACAGCCAATTGGACAAATGGCCGCGAGAGCTCAACAGTAAGAGCAAAGGGAAGTAAATGAAAGGGACTTGTCAATTTCTATGTTTTTTACGCCAATAGCAATTCCGCGCGGTCCAGCATAGTATATCCAGGTTTTAGGGTAAACAACTTTCAGATACAGGCTGATTGGATTAATTTGATGAACAACACTCTGCAATTCTATGGGTTACCTCATGAGAATCCAAACACACATGTCTTAAGGTTTCTCAAGAATTGTCAGAATTGTCATGCTCCTGGGGTTAATGAGGACGCCATCAAGTTGTGATTATTTCCATATACACTGAGAGATTCAGCATTGGAATGGATGGATGCAGAACCGGATGGAAGTATTATCACAGTAACTGACTAGGAAATTCTGCAATAAGTTATTTCCACCAGCTAAGGTAGCAAAAATCAGACTGAAAATTCAAACTTTTCAACAGGGAGATGGGGAGAGCTATCACAAGGCATGAAACAGATTTTAAGGAGTTGATGAGGAGGTGTCCAAATCATGAGATCACTACTGGAAATCAAGTGTAGTATTTCTACACGGGACTTTCACCACTGTCTCAAGTGGATTCCTCTGCAGGAGGATCGATCATAGGGAAATCAATGCAACAATGCATAGATCTATTTGAGCTTATTGCTACTACTCATTCCATGTTTTCATCAGAAAGAGTGGTGCCTCCAAAAGCAGTGGGAATATATAAATTAGACAGCACAGCATCTACCAATGCCCAAATAGCAGCATTGACAAAACAAGTAGAGTTATTGGTAAAGTCACAAACAAAAGGAGCACATGCAGTGATAGCCAATCCATCATACGAAAACTGCGGAGCTAATCATCTAACAAAAAATTGCACATCTTTGGGCTATTCAGATGAACAAATCAACTTCATTCAAAATGGCTCTCGAAATTTTAATCATTTTTCACAAACATATAACCTAGGATGGAGACAACACCCAAACTTCAGATGGTCGGATAATCAGCAAGGAAACAGTTCAAACAATGCACAACAGGAGAAAAAGCCAAGTTTAGGGGAGATGTTCAGCCAGTACATGCAGAACACAGACAAGGTGTTCCAACGGATTGACACTAACTTTCAAAATCAGCAAGCATCCATTAAGAAGTTGGAAACTCAAATTGGCCAGATAGCTCAACAGCTTGCAGAACGCCCACAAGGGACATTGCCAAGCAACACAATGGTCAATCCAAAAGAGCAAGTGCAAGCTATAACAACTAGAAGTGGAGTGCAACTTCCAGAGATACATGTGAAGAGACCAGACAGAAAAGACAAAGAAGTAATCGGTGAAGAGGCTGGAACAGAAGCAGAGTCTCAGTGAGAGCACCTAGCCCCGTGAAAGCTTATGTGCCACCAATTTCCTTCCCTCAGAGTCTACAGAGAAAGAAGTTGGATAAGCAGTTTGCCAAGTTTGTGGAGATTTTCAAGAAACTGCACATCGATATCCCGTTTGCAGATGCAATTGCCTAAATACCCAGCTATGCTAAATTCTTGAAGAAGATCCTGTCTAACAAAAGAAAGCTAGAAGAACATGAGATAGTCTGCATGAACGAGGAGTGCAGTGCCATTCTATTGAAAAAACTACCTCCTAAACTAAAAGACCTAAGGAGTTTCACGATACCTTGCACAATTGGTTCTAATTATTTTGAACATTCTTTATGTGATTTAGGTGTCCGTGTTAATTTGATGACCCTCTCTGTTTACAGGTTTCTTGGATTGGGAGAAGCAAAATCTATAACAATCTCATTACAACTGGCTAAAGATCAATCAAACAACTGAGGGGGATGATTGAAGATGTGCTAGTCAAAGTTGATAAATTTATTTTTTCGACTGATTTCATCATTTTGGACATGGAGGAGGATCAAACATCCCTCTAATCTTGGGAAGACCCTTCTTGGATATCGGAAGAGTGCTGATTGATGTTTACAATGGAAAGATGATTCTTCGGGTGGACAATGAGCAAGTCATATTCAACATGTTCAAGGCGACGAAACATCCATTGACTTCAGACACCTGTTGCCAAGTAGATGTTCTTGAAGAGTTGGTCGCAGATACATTTGAGATAGAGCATCAAATAGTTCTTTGTGAAGTAAAAATTGTACAATCGGGAGCAACAAGTGCAGAAAAAACTAAATGTGTTGTCAACTTGGGTAAGCAACTAATAGGAAAAAGACATTGGCAGTATAAATCTCTTGGTGACAACCTTTCACCCCCGGTACCTTCAGTGGAAAAGGCACCCACTCTTGAACTAAAGCCCTTGCCTTTACATCTCCGTTATGCATATTTGGGAGAATCTACAACACTTCCAATAATCATTGCAAATGACATGACAATGGAAGAGGAGAATAAATTGTTAGAGGTACTCATGCAGCATAAAACGGCAATTGGATGGATAATAGCTGACATCAGAGGGATTAGTCCAACTCTTTGCATGCACAAGATTTTAATGGAGGACGGGTCAAAACCATCAGTGGAAGGACAATGCAGATTAAATCCAACCTTGAAAGAAGCAGTGCGAAAAGAAGTGCTCAAATTGTTGGATGCGAGAATAATTTATCCCATATCTGATAGTTCATGGGTAAGTCTAGTACATGTTGTGCCTAAAAAGGGTGGAATCACAGTAGAGAAGAACGAGAACAATGAGTTGATACCAACACGGTTAGTGACAGGGTGTAGAGTATGTATAGATTACATAAAGCTAAACAATGCAACCAGAAAGGATCATTTTTCATTGCTATTCATTGATAAGATGTTGAAGAGGTTGGCCGGTCATTCTCATTACTGCTTTCTGGACAGATATTCTGGGTACAATCAAATAGTTATTGCTCCAGAAGACCAAGAGAAAACAACCTTTACATGCCGCTATGGAACTTTTGCATTTAGAAGGATGCCTTTTGGTTTATGCAATGCACCCGTAACCTTTCAACGTTGCATGATGGCTATATTCTCTGACATGGTGGAAAAATCCATCGAGGTATTCATAGATGATTTTTCTATGTTTGGAGATTCATTTGATGACTGCTTGGATCGGTTGGCTCTTGTACTGGAAAGATGCGAAGAGAAGAACCTAGTGTTAAATTGGGAAAAATGTCATTTCATGGTAAAAGAGAGGATAGTGTTGGGCCACAAGATTTTCACAAAGGGCATTGAAGTTGACAAAGCCAAGATAAAAGTGATTGAAAATTTGCAGCCTCTTAATTTAGTTAAGGGGATTAGAAGCTTCTTAGGACATGCAGGGTTTTATAGAAGGTTCATTAAGAATTTCTCAAAAATTACAAAACTTCTGTGTAATCTATTGGAAAAGGATGTGCCATTTCTTTTCTGATGAATGCTTAAATGTCTTTAATACTTTGAAAGAAAAGTTAACTTCTGCACCTGTAATAGTAGTACCTGATTGGGATCTACATTTCGAATTTATATGTGATGCTAGTGAGTTTGCAATGGGAACGGTGCTTGGCCAATGTGAAGGAAAAGTGTTACATGTAATCTACTATACCAGCAAAACCTTGACAAATGCTCAGATCAACTATACAACAATAGAAAAAGAAATGCTAGCGATGGTCTTTGCCTTCGACAAATTTCGTTCCTATCTGATTAGTTCAAAGGTGATAGTCTACACTGACTATGCAGCATTGAAATATCTGTTTGAGAAGAAGGATGTTAAACCTAGGCTAATTCGATGGGTTCT